ACCTTTTGGTACTTTTTCGTTCTTCAAAAAGTACTTTTTGAATTTTCTATAATATTGATCCTAGAAGCATGAAATTAAGCATATAGAGCCTGGAGTAAATGAGAATCTATAAGAGGGGACTTTTGGTACTTTTTCGTTCTTCAAAAGGTACTTTTTGAATTTTCTGTAATATTGATCCTAGAAGCATGAAATTAAGCATATAGAGCCTGGAGTAAATGAGAATCTATAAGAGGGGACTTTTTGGTACTTTTTCGTTCTTCAAAAGGTACTTTTTGAATTTTCTATAATATTGAACCTAGAATCATGAAATTAAGTACGTAGAGCCCGGAGTAAGTGAGAATCTATAATTTTTTAATTTTCTATAATATTTTTAATTTTCTATAATATTGAACTTAGGAATATGAAATTAAATAAAAGAGGTCTTTTGTTACTTTTTCGTACTTCATTGGTACTTTTTGAGTTTTCTAAAATATTGAATATATAAACATAAATTTAAATAGGGGTCTTTTTGATATTGCAGATATATATACATTTACAATAATATTTATTTTATTTCATTACGATGAGGGTAGCGAAGCACACTGGGTATAGCTAGTTAAATAATAAATCTGTAAATGAATACTGGTTACGTTGGCAAATTGTAATCCAATCTATTAAATATGTTTGTTTTCTTTTTCTATAAAATGGTAATTTAATACTAATTTTTTTGTAAAATTATCACATCTAACATTGTAAAATCGAATCTTCTGAAATGATTCGAAAATAATTTCCAAGACAGCAAACACTTATTCTTACTGTTTTAATAACGATATCACTGATTGAATCATTAACTCGTTATTATTAATGATTCATAAATTTTACTATTATCCAATTTTCGATATTTGAATATTAAACAAGTTTTAAATATAAAATTGGAAAATACTAATTTCTTACTAACACACTTTCGCTAAGTTAGTTAAGGGAAAATATAAATAAATTTTAAATATAATTGTTGATTATATAGATTAAAGTTTATTAACATATAATAATTTAATTACAATCTCTTAAAAAATATTTATATAATTTAGTGCAGTTTTCAATCATTTAACTTTTATGTAAAGTATTACAAGTCAAAGGTCACCAAAACTATTCAAAAAGCTTTCTTAAATATTTAGATTAGAAAATATATCGCCACCTGAAAGCTTTGTTTTTGTACGACAGACGGTCGAATATTAAAATTTTCTTGTGCTACAACGAATATTCCGAATATTACATACACATACATATGTATATTATTGGTCACATTTAGTCTAGCCTATAGTCTAGTCTATAGTCTAGTCTATAGTCTAGTCTATAGTCTAGTCTATAGTCTAGTCTATAGTCTAGTCTATAGTCTAGTCTATAGTCTAGTATATAGTCTAGTATATAGTCTAGTCTATAGTCTAGTCTATAGTCTAGTCTATAGTCTAGTCTAGTCTATAGTCTAGTCTAGTCTATAGTCTAGTCTATAGTCTAGTCTATAGTCTAGTCTATAGTCTAGTCTAGTCTATAGTCTAGTCTAGTCTAGTCTATAGTCTAGTCTAGTCTAGTCTAGTCTAGTCTAGTCTAGTCTAGTCTAGTCTAGTCTAGTCTATAGTCTAGTCTATAGTCTAGTCTATAGTCTAGTCTATAGTCTAGTCTACAGTCTAGTCTATAGTCTAGTCTATAGTCTAGTCTATAGTCTAGTCTATAGTCTAGTCTATAGTCTAGTCTATAGTCTAGTCTATAGTCTAGTCTATAGTCTAGTCTATAGTCTAGTCTATAGTCTAGTCTATAGTCTAGTCTATAGTCTAGTCTATAGTCTAGTCTATAGTCTAGTCTATAGTCTAGTCTATAGTCTAGTCTATAGTCTATAGTCTAGTCTATAGTCTATAGTCTAGTCTATAGTCTAGTCTAAAGTCTAGTCTATAGTCTAGTCTATAGTCTAGTCTATAGTCTAGTCTATAGTCTAGTCTATAGTCTATAGTCTAGTCTGTAGTCTAGTCTATAGTCTAGTCTATAGTCTAGTCTATAGTCTAGTCTATAGTCTAGTCTATAGTCTAGTCTATAGTCTAGTCTATAGTCTAGTCTATAGTCTAGTCTATAGTCTAGTCTATAGTCTAGTCTAGTCTAGTCTAGTCTATAGTCTAGTCTATAGTCTAGTCTATAGTCTAGTCTATAGTCTAGTCTATAGTCTATATAGTCTAGTCTATAGTCTAGTCTATAGTCTAGTCTATAGTCTAGTCTATAGTCTAGTCTATAGTCTAGTCTATAGTCTTGTCTATAGTCTAGTCTATAGTCTAGTCTATAGTCTAGTCTATAGTCTCTAGTCTATAGTCTAGTCTATAGTCTAGTCTATAGTCTAGTCTATAGTCTAGTCTATAGTCTAGTCTATAGTCTAGTCTAAAGTCTAGTCTATAGTCTAGTCTATAGTCTAGTCTATAGTCTAGTCTATAGTCTAGTCTGTAGTCTAGTCCTATAGTCTAGTCTATAGTCTAGTCTATAGTCTAGTCTATAGTCTAGTCTATAGTCTAGTCTATAGTCTAGTCTATAGTCTAGTCTATAGTCTAGTCTATAGTCTAGTCTATAGTCTAGTCTATAGTCTAGTCTATAGTCTAGTCTATAGTCTAGTCTATAGTCTAGTCTATAGTCTAGTCTATAGTCTAGTCTATAGTCTAGTCTATAGTCTAGTCTATAGTCTAGTCTATAGTCTAGTCTATAGTCTAGTCTATAGTCTAGTCTATAGTCTAGTCTATAGTCTAGTCTATAGTCTAGTCTAGTCTAGTCTAGTCTATAGTCTAGTCTATAGTCTAGTCTATAGTCTAGTCTATAGTCTAGTCTATAGTCTAGTCTATAGTCTAGTCTATAGTCTAGTCTATAGTCTAGTCTATAGTCTAGTCTATAGTCTAGTCTATAGTCTAGTCTATAGTCTTTTTAATGAAAATAATCTCATTATTTAAAATATTATTTATGTTAAGGTTTCTTTCTGCCCTAATGTCCAAAGTTAAAACTACTATTTTACTATCTACTAACATTTTGTTAACAATTTTAATCAAAGTAACTAAAACATTTCCATCTTTATAGAAAAAGATTTCATAAAACATAAGAAACAGAAAAACTCTAAAACAACGTAAACCTATAATTAGTTCATTTAAAAATATAAAAAAAAACTGGAAATTGATAATCATGCCAATGCATTTCATGTGTGGTATGAATAATATAGTTTTTTTTTTTTATTAGAATTAGAAATAAATATAATATAGAGCTTTCTTATCTACAAATGTTTTACTTTTATTATTTGTAGTTGATTATTATATGAATGTCATGTTTGAAAAAAAAAACATGCGTCTTTTCAATATTGATTAAATGCCCTACACTGAAATTGCTTTTAATAACGATGAAAACAATTTGCGATTGCGATATTTTACCGTTTTTCTTTTGATTACGAAAATTCTGTGTGAGAACCATTATTTAACGCTCATTAAAATAACTAAGCAGAGCTGTTGTAGGACAGCGAACAAAAAAACTTTTTTAACTGCCTATTTGTAAGTACTTATTTAAGTAGCTATTTGTAAGCGATCCTGGTAAGTACTTGCCTCCAATAATGCTTTAAAATACTAATGATTACTTTTCAATGTAAGTTTTTGCTTTGAAGTTTTTCCGAAAAAAAAACTCACAAAATCACGTTTAAAACAGAAAAGCTTTTCTTAATAGGAATATTAATTGTAACTAATTGTTAATTGATATTTCTTTTTGTGCAATAATTTAAATTACGTACATATTTTATAATTCTATGTTATTTATACAATGGAACTGGGTACGTGTTTATACCCATTTTAATTGACATAATTCCGTATTCTACTTTATTAACTAAGGTAGTTTGATCACATTCAAAAACTTTTCACTCCAAACATTTTTTTAGAAAAGAATTTTTATTACAATTATTGATTTTTCTTTTCACCTCACTGAAAACCTTTTCACTACTTACTAATTATTTTAACACAGCTATTTCATTAATACTTAACAAGCTCGCTTACAAATAGGGAGTTAAATAAGTACTTACTATGCTCTCTTACAAAGAGATATTTTTAAAAAGAGATGGTGTTACTTTACAAATAACACAGTTTTTAAAGCGCCATCAAATAAAATACGTGAAGAAAATGGCGAAGCCGAAAATAAGTACTAATATATCAGATTAAAAGTAAGTCATTACTAGAATCCCTAAATCCTTAAATTATCCTTAAATTGTTATCTTTCTGTTGTCTCGTAAATATTTGATGAAAGAATTCGATGATATTCAATCAATATTTACTCAGGTTCTTAAAGGTGAAATATTCTTGTTTATATATTAATATTATTCAAATAGAGTTTCCAAAAATCCAACCATAGATAACCAAAAATACAACTACTGTCAAAATTTCACGATCTGGCGTTTAGGCTTTGGTATATATATATATATATATATATATATATATATATATATATAGATTAACAATAATGTATTCCAATTATCTACAATTATTTATTTAAAATTTAATTCTTTTAACCATTAGTGTTTGTAACAAATATCTCCAGTTCCACGTTAAACTGTGTCATTATTAAAACTCAATTAAATTCAACACACTTAGGGCGGGTTTCTTACTACTCAGTTAAACTAGGCTTAACTTGCTGTTAGATTAAACTCGGAACAAATTTTAGGCGGACTTTAACCGATGATTGTGTTTTTCAGTTATGGATTTAAGTTCAATTAACTTTGTTAGTATTGCCAACTTTTCACTCAAAAACATAAACAATGAACAGCTGTTTTTTGCAAATAATACATTTGTAAAATGAAACATTTTGGAAAAATGTTAAATAAACATTTAAAACAATAATAAATAAAACAAAACAAATCAGAAAATTGCAATTTACTTAAAATATTAAATTTTTGTTCTTCCGAAATCATTGTTTTATTGTTTTTGTTAATTGTATCTTCTCACTTATAACTTAAGTTAAATTGGCCAATAACACTCAGTTAAACTAAGATAATAAGTAACGTTACTGTTTACTGAAAAACACAAAACATATATTAAACTAGGTTTAACCAAAGAATGTAGATTATCTTTATCTGAAAAACCCGCCCTTAGTTGCAAATTAAGTAATTATATCTAGATAAAATTGCTGCATTTAACAAATTAAACTTGTAAAGTAGAGAAAAATGATATAATAGCACTTTCTGTAGGTAGACATTGACCAAAGGCTTCAATTAATAAAGGTTGAGCGGCTACGGTGCGCATAAAATCATCCAAAGAAACCTGTTCAAAAAATGCATCGGCAATTAAAACAGTATACATACTTGGCGAGATATATAAAAACATATTTTCATTTACCTTTCCATCTTTATCCAAATCAAATTTTCTTAAAACAATCTCCACCAAATCCTTAACACCCTCATCGGGATCCTCATCTTGTGGTTGTTTTATCAAGCAATTCCTTAACAAAGTAAACATTTCATCTTTCGTTATAAAACCATCACCATTTAAGTCGTAAACACGAAAACAAAATGCTGCCCTCTCACTGGGTGAACCACGTAAAAATACCGATAGTCCAACAAGCCAACCTTCTAAGCGCAAAGGTAGACCCTCATGTGCTTTATCCCAGCTGCAGAAAATTCGTTCCATTAGAATTTCCTCAGTGACGATGTCGAATGTGCTGTGTAAGAGTTCACGGAATACAATGCGATCAATGCCTGTATATAGTGAACATTTTAAGATTGTTAAAAGTATTTAAGTTGTGTTGATTACCTCTTGTGTTTGTGGCTTGGCAATTGCTGCCCCAGAAGGTCCAGATGCCAGAGTTTTTGTGGCATATTGACAATTTGATACTAATTTACGATAAATACGACATAACGCATCCAATTCATCTCTGAAAATGTAGATGTTTATGGAAAATATTAATATTAAAAATATCTCCAAAAAAATGGAGCCAATCGGCAAAATTGCAGGAGTGATCGGAGGACTACGAAATTTTGGTATGTTAGTATCCGATTTAAAACTTCAAAAAATCACCCACATCTTTTTTACTTATTTATTTTGAGGAGTGATCGTTAGTTAGTTATCGTTAGTTAGTTAGTTAGTTAGTTAGTTAGTATTAGTTAGTTAGTGTAGTTAGTTAGTTAGTTAGTTAGTTAGTTAGTTAGTTAGTTAGTTAGTTAGTTAGTTAGTTAGTTAGTTAGTTAGTTAGTTAGTTAGTTAGTTAGTTAGTTAGTTAGTTAGTTAGTTAGTTAGTTAGTTAGTTAGTTAGTTAGTTAGTTAGTTAGTTAGTTAGTTAGTTAGTTAGTTAGTTAGTTAGTTAGTTAGTTAGTTAGTTAGTTAGTTAGTTAGTAGTTAGTTAGTTAGTTAGTTAGTTAGTTAGTTAGTTAGTTAGTTAGTTAGTTAGTTAGTAGTTAGTTAGTTAGTTAGTTAGTTAGTTAGTTAGTAGTTAGTTAGTTAGTTAGTTAGTTAGTTAGTTAGTTAGTTAGTTAGTTAGTTAGTTAGTTAGTTAGTTAGTTAGTTAGTTAGTTAGTTAGTTAGTTAGTTAGTTAGTTAGTTAGTTAGTTAGTTAGTTAGTTAGTAGTTAGTTAGTTAGTTAGTTAGTTAGTTAGTTAGTTAGTTAGTTAGTTAGTTAGTAGTTATGTAGTTATTAGTTAGTATTTAGTTAGTTTAGTTAGTTAGGAGTTAGTTATTAGTTAGTTGTAGTAGTTAGTTAGTTTTAGTTAGTAGTAGTTAGTAGTTAGTAGTTAGTTAGTAGTTAGTTAGTTTTAGTTAGTTAGTTAGTTAGTTAGTTAGTTAGTTAGTTAGTAGTTAGTTAGTTGTTAGTTGTTTAAAGTGAGTTAATGTTCCAATAAGGTTTTATTGCCTATTCACTCACACTCCTAATTTGTAGCAACCGCCGCAACGTATGATAAATAATCGAAGAAATATCAATCATACGCTTCAACATTTAAACTTTATGTACAAGATAATCATTAATTATCGAAAAAGTGCAGCGTTGATTAAACCTGACATTCACTTCTATTACATAAATAAATAAACTCACTTATTAAATCTAGTTTTCTTTCGCAACTGTTCCAATAATTTTGGATTTATTTTACCACTCAATTCATCCATTCTATCCTTTTTCGAACGGCGACTTGTTTTCAGCGAAGCTTCCGATGCCTTCGACTGATTACTAGAATTACGTTTATTGCTTGCCAAAAAGGCTGAAACTGATTTCAATAAAACCGTATTGGCATGAGCTTTAGTTGATTTCTCAACATCGCCGACTGCAGCACTGCTGCTGCCAACAGCAGCTGCATTATTGTTGTTGCTACCACTGCTGCTGACACCTTGAGTGGTGGGGCCAGAGTTAACACCCGCAGCTGATTTTGTTGCCACTATACATGAGAAAAAGAAGACAAAAACAACAAGAATAAAGCATACAATAACAAATAAATAAGAAATTTGTTAAACATTAAAATTGATATACATACATACATATGTAGACAATAAACAAAACAGGAACAAAAAACTAAAACAAGTACAAACTGAAATTAGTTGAAAACATGCAACATTATTTTTTGTTCTTATAAACTGATTGAACCCAACTGATAGACAGACAACCTGTCAGAGGATATTCACAACGGTTTTGTAAGGTAAATGTCAGTACATGTGTATGTATGGTATGTGCATACATATGTATGTATTTACACATGTCATCTTTCTAATATCAATTATATGTAAATGTAGATTTCTACAAAGCATTTTAAGTAAACAGGTTTTACTAACAATAAATATTTTTTTATTAATATTTGAATTTATGAAAAACCAATTGAATATATTTTTATGACATTATTAAGGTACCTTCTTAAAAGTGTTCAAATATTAAACGAACATATTTAGATAATATACTACTTTTTAATCAATATTTACAAAAGTTGTTTTGAAATTAACAAAATTCATCGAAATTCGAAGAACTTAAACTCAAATCGATCACTTTGTATTGTAAATAGTAGTTACATACATATATAAAGGAAACAAAGTAGTTTGTTACAAGTGACAATGTGTAGGGATCATTGAATTTCATCTAGAAGAGACATATATCAAATTCTAATTCTCACACCAGTTTAAAATGTATGTAGTTATTTATATTCATAAACACTCATAAAAAATAACTTGTTTATTTTATAGGCGTAACCCAGGATATTTGTTTATAATTATTATTTTATTGTGTTACCAAGAACATTAAAGGCGACACCAGCAACACCAAAGTTAACACCAGGATCTAGTGTTTTAAACAAGTTTCTAGTAAAACGCCGTGTTAAAGTTTTAGTTAAAATAAAAATACAATATAAAAGGGTAAACAATTTTTTTAATTTCCTAAAAATGACTGAAGATCATCCAAATATGGTCCAATTGAAAAAGAATTGAAAATCTGTGATCGCTCATATTTCTCAACAAAAATCGATTTTTATCGAATGAGAAAATAGTGAAAATCTGTGATCACTTATATTTCCTATGAAAAACTTTTAATCGTCTGTAGATTCTTAAATAACGTTCCAATTGAGAAAAAAGTGAAAATCTGTGATCAATCATATATCCTACCAAACATCGATTTTTATATGAAAAACCTAAAATCGTCTGTAGTTCCTTAAATAACGCTCCAATAGTGAAAACCTGTGATCACTTATATTTCCTACCAAATATCGATTTTTATATGAAAAACTTTTAATCATCTGTAGATTCTTAAATAACGCTCCAATTGAGAAAATAGTTAAAATCTGTGATCACTTATATTTTCTACCAAAAATCGATTTTTATAAGAAAAGACTACAATCTGCTGTAGATCCTTAAATAACGCTCCAATAGAGAAAATAGTGAAAATTTGTGATCACTCATATTTTCTACCAAAATTCGATTTTTATATAAAAAACCTTAAATCGTCTGTAGATTCTTAAATAACGCTCCAATTGAGAAAATAGTGTGAAAATCTGTGATCACTCATATTTAATGCCAAAACTCGGTTTTTATACAAAAAACCTAAAATCTTTTGTAGTTCCTTAAATAACGCTCCAATTGAGAAAATAGTGAAAATTTGTGATCACTCATATTTTTTACCAAAATCGATTTTTATTTGAAAAATCTTAAATCGCTTGTAGATTCTCTAATAACGCTCCAATTGAGAAAATAGTGAAAATCGGTGATCACTCATATTTCCTACCAAAAATTGATTTTTATAAGAAAAACCTAAAATCGTCTGTAGATTCTTAAATAACGCTCCAATTGAAAAAAAAAATTAGAATCTGTGATCAATCATATTTCCTACCAAAAATCGGTTTTTATAAGAAAAACCTAAAATCGTCTGTAGTTCCTTAAATAACGCTCCAATTGAGAAAATAGTGAAAATCTGAGATCACTCATATTTCTTACCAAAAAACGATTTTTATATGAAAAACTTTAATAACGCTCCAATTGAGAAAATAGTGAAAATCTGTGATCACTCATTTTCAACCAAAAATCGATTTTTTTATGAAAAACCTAAAATCGTCTGTAGTTCCTTAAATAACGCTCCAATTGAGAAAATAGTGAAAATCTGTGATCACTCATATTTCCTAACAAAAATCGGTTTTTATAAGAAAAACTTAAAATCGTCTGTAGTTCCTTAAATAACGCTCCAATTGAGAAAATAGTGAAAATCTGTGATCACTCATTTTCTACCAAAAATCGATTTTTATACGAAAAACCTAAAATCGTCTGTAGATTCCCTAATAACGCTCCAATTGAGAAAAAAGTGAAAATCTGCCATCACTTATATTTCTTACCAAAAATCAATTTTTATATGAAAAACCTAAAATCGTCTGTAGTTCCTTAAATAACGCTCCAATTGAGAAAATAGTGAAAATCTGTGATCACTCATATTTCCTACCAAAAATCGATTTTTATAAGGAAAACCTAAAATCGTCTGTAGTTCCTTAAATAACGCTCCAATTGAGAAAATCTTGATCACTCATATTTCCTACCAAAAATCGATTTTTATATGACAAACTTTAAATCGTCTGTAGATTCTTAAATAACGCTCCAATTGAGAAAATAGTGAAAATCTGTGATCACTTATATTTTTTAACAAAATCGATTTTTATTTAAAAAATCTTAAATCGCTTGTAGATTCTCTTATCACTTATATTTTTTACCAAAATCGATTTTTATATGAAAAATCTTAAAACGCTCCAATAGAGAAAATCTATGATCACTTATATTTCCTACCAAAAATCGGTTTTTATATGAAAAACCTAAAATCGTCTGTAGTTCCTTAAATAACGCTCCAATTGAGAAAATAGTGAAAATCTATGATCACTTATATTTCCTACCAAAAATCGATTTTTATTTGAAAAGACTAAAATCTGCTGTAGATCCTTTAATAACGCTCCAATTGAGAAAATAGTGAAAAACTGTGATCACTCATATTTCCTGCCAAAAATCGTTTTTTATATGAAAAACCTAAAATCGTCTATAGTTCCTTAAATAACGTTCCAATTGAGAAAATAGGAAAATCTGTGCTCACTTATATATCTTACCAAAAATCGATTTTTATATGAAAAACTTAAAATCGTCTGTAGATCCTTAAATAACGCTCCAATTGAGGAAATTGTGAAAATCTGTGATCACTCATATTTCCTACCAAAAATCGATTTTTATAAGAGAAACCTAAAATAGAGAAAATAGGGAAAATCTGTGATCACTTATATATCTCACCAAAAATCGATTTTTATATGAAAGACTTAAGATCGTGTGTAGATCCTTAAATAACGCCTCAATTGAGAAAATAGAGAAAATCTGTGATCACTCATAAAAAACCTAAATTTATCTGTAGATCCTTAAATAACGCTCCAATTGAGAAAATAGTGAAAATCTGCGATCACTTATATTTCTTACTCAAAAAACGCTATAGTTTAGGAAATATGTAGTCAAAATCAATAGGGTTAAAATTTAAGCTATTGAATTAATTGAAATGTTCAAAATGTGTGAAGAATTGGGGGCAAGATAAGAATGCATTTCTAACGAAGCATCATAATTTTAATATATGTATGTTTATTTGTAAATGATTTGTACCAAAAAAATTTTCTTAATACTTTTTTCTTCTTTTCTATTTAGTGTTGATTGTATATCCAAGTGGCGATAAGGACTCTAAGATCATTTCACTGAACAAATGTAAAAAATATTTAAATAAAGTTGCTAAAAAATACTTTTTAAAACTTTAATAACTTTAAAGAATTTTCTTTTGGAAAAAACAGGTATTACCCATATCCTTTTACACACGGCACTTGTAAGTTTTAAACTGATTTTAAACAAATTATGGAAAAATCAACAAGAAAAAATGTAACCATGGTATATAAAGAAATATTTCCATAATATTATGCAAACGAAAAAAAAAGAGTTAATAAAAAAGGCTTAATAATTTGTCAAGTAAATAAAATCAAAACTAAAAACATGATGACAATTTCTTATAAAGAATTTCCTTTTTTAAGGCAGGTAAGTAGGGGCAGAAAGTTGAAGTAGGTAATAATAACATGCAACATTTGACTGAAGCAAAGATAAACTATTAAGACTAAGGCAACAATAAAATTATTGATAAAACAACTGAAAAGGCAAAGTTAAATTAAAAAACTAAACAAGGCGTATGAGCAATAAGAGTTTTTATATGAATTGTGTTCTACATGAAATTACTCATACGCCAAGAGGAAGTAAACTGCTAGACTGCCTAAACTTAACAAAGTTAGATTTAGCTCGAAAAAAACAACAAATATATGTTTTCTTTAGTTTTTTTATATATATATTTATATTATTATTTACTTAACTCTTAAACTTTAATTTCAAAATATGTTTATATATTTATTAAACGTAATTTTATATTATTTGTTTTTGTTTTCTTTTAATTACACGCTAAGTTAAAGGCTAAATAAAAAATAAAATGTTACGAGAGAGAGAACAAATGGAGAAAATGTGTTTTTTTTTTAATTTTTACAACAAAAAATGGCTTAAAATTACATAAGTATTATTAATAATTAAAGGAAGAGTTATATTTGAAACAAGAAAAAGCTAAAAAATAAAAAAAAATTAACAAAAAAATTAAAAAAATACTTAAGAATTTGAAAATAATTTTGAAACAAACGAAATAGTTTTTTTATTTTGAGGATTAAAGAAAACATAAAGAGAGGGGATTAGAAGTATAGGATAAGGGTGGTCGTTGTGTTTGTTGATGATGGTTTTGTTTAGTGTGGTTATGTAGGTTTAAAGATAAAATATAAGTTTTGTTTTGTTTTTAGGTAGTTAGAGGAGGTGGTGGCGTTAGTAGTTTTTTGTTGTAGTGTAAAAGATAATGTTTGTAGGTTTTGTAGTTGTGGTGTTTTACAAATTTGTGTTATTTGTTAAGGGAATTTAAATTTAAAATATTATTATTCTCTGTGTTGTATTTAAGTATTTTTTTGTATCAGTTTAGAAGAAACAAATTTTAAAGGGGAGGATTGGTTTTATGCTGTTAGTGTTTTACATTTTCATATATTGATTGGTTGATTGACTAAGTTAATTTTCATTTATTACACTATTACATATTGTATTTTCTTCATTTTATTATAACTATTTGTTTGTTTGTGTTATTTAGTAGAGAGGGTTAGAGTTTAATTTACGGTAAGGTGTTTGTTTGTTTTGTGTTTTCCTTCTTTTTTTTAATTTGTAGTTTTTTTTTAACATTATTATTTCATACTTCATGTTCTTTTTTCTTTTCTTTTTGTTTTCATTAAAATTGTATTCTCTATAATTATTGCAATTATTTTCAAATTCATAATATTAACTTAATATTAAACCGGTATTATAACTCCATATCCCTTGCCTCATCCTCACTATAGTCCGACATACTGGATTCACTATCACTACTCTCACGCTCAACTTGGGCGGCTCTCAAAGCCTCCTCTGTGGCATAACGTTGTACATAATCAGCTACTTTGCGGTGATATTCTTCAGGTTCATGTAAATACAGTGAGGCTGCATCACGATTAAGGGGATCGACTGGATTGGGATATGTGAGCAGCTGTGGCAAAAATGATTCAAAGATATTTGATAAATCATACAGTGCTGTCCAGGCCTGATTTATAACATCGAGACAGACGGTACCGGACGATTCGTCTATATTAGGATGATAGATTTTATTCACAAAACCTATGCTGGGTGATTTGAAGGGATAGTTGTCGGGCAGGTAGACACGAACCTTCCAAACGCCACCTTCGTACGGTGTCCCATGAGGACCAAAGAATTTCACATGAAATTCATTAAGGCCACCGATAATTGTAACCTCATGTTTTGATTCTATCAATTTGATGACATCGTTGTCCATGCGACGTTTGCCAGCACTTGGTGAGGACATCTTGTTGTATGTATATTTTTTTTGTATATAACTATAGGTGTTTGTTTATTTTCTAGTGTGGAGTTGTAGGATGGGTGTGTTTTGTATCACAATAATTTGAACGTCTCCCAAACCAAAATCCCACGTATTCTCACACACGTGGCTATTCCGTTGTCTGGGCCTTCTAATTATTTCAATTATTTTCCAAGATCTGGAAGTAAAGTAAGAGAAAGTAAAAGAAATTAATTAAAATAATTAAAATAATAAAAACAGTTTATTATTATTAAGAAGTATAGTCGGGCTGGACCGACCATAAGATACCCTACCCACCAGTTATGAGTATACATATCTAAAATGTGATTTATGATTGACTTTGAAAAACTGACTTTTTTGTAAGAAGCTGTATATGTGGGACCGATTCTATTAAAATTTGATAGAGGGATTTATGTTGCAGTATTAAACTAGTTCAGTCTGAAGCTGACCTCGGAATTTGCCAGTTTTTTAAGGTATCTTAACCTAATGAAAAAAACACGTTTTTGGCAATATTTCAGATGTTATACTAGCAAGAAGTCATCTTTATTAATAACATTTTCCTAGACTTCTGAAAGTTTTATATATTGGTTTCAAAGTAAAGGTATAACGTCTGTTATATATTGTTCCGCCTTTGTGGAATAAGATGTCAAATTCAGCCATTAGAAAAGTTTACTTTAGTCCCAAAGTTTTGACTATTTTTCAAACTTTAGCGGTCCGTCGTTGAAAATCACAGAATTACCACTCTATCTTAATTAATAATTTATAAACAAATTAAAAACTATTTATTTACAATTTTGTTTTTGTATGCAATGCGGAAGTAAAATTTAAAAGATTTTTCTACAAATTTGGATAAATATAAAAACAAAATATTTATTAAACCAAATATCACAAAAAATGTATTTTGAAATTTAGCATTGACGTCAATGTTTTCCCTCTCGTAAAATGTGCATATTTTTACTTTTTTTGTTTTTTCTTTTTTTGGCATACAGCTGCAGCGTGAAATAAACACTCACATGTCGTGAATAGTAGGCAAGGAGGTCCAAGATTGAGGGGTCTCTACATAGATTATGGTTAAGCAAGGTATCGTTTCATACATCTCTGTGTACAAGTATGTGTTTTTTGTAAATGAGGTTAGTAGGTCGTTATATTGGAAATGCATACGCCGAGCATGCATATGTATATTTTTACATGAAATAGTTCATAAGCAAAAGTGTAAAACGTGGTCAATTTTTGCAAAAAAAAAAAAATATGTCACAAAAATAACTGAATGATGTTTGAAAGCGTTTTTTGTTGTTGCACCAACAGCAGTGTAATACGAGTATGTTGCTAGTTGCAACTACTTGTAAGGTAAATAAATATGCTTGTATGACATAAAAGGCCAAGTTTTCATTATTTTCATAGGGGTTTGCTATGTGAAAAAGCATACTTTTAGGCAGAATTTTTTTTAATTAAAATATTGCTGGTCTTTTGTTAACGAATAACACTTTTCGAGATAAAAAAAAATGACTTAAAATTATGTATAGTAGTACTACTCAAGAAGTGTTATAGGAAAATATGTAAATACAGTTATAGTTTATAATAAAGGATATTCTTATTAATGAAATTTCATTAATTTTAACAAATAAATAACTTTATCGAAATTTCATTTTGGGTTATATTTCTTAAAGTAAAAATCAACTTAAATACTTAATTTTTTTATAAATAATCAAAATTTTTAACATAATGACTGGTTTAGGGTATCATATGGTCGGCAATGCACAACTATAAATTCTTACTTGTTCATCTATATAGTGGGGAAATCAACTCTTCTTATCTTTCCATCTTAATGTTGTCTTCTTTCTATATTCTTTGTTCTTTAAGGGAATCAAAATGCAGTCGTTTAGTCTCCAAGTAAATGTACACCTTACGGTATACGACGCTTATAAGCTAAACTATAGGAATTCTCGGGAAAGTTCCCGCTTTTAAGTTTAGTTTAAAATGTGTTTAAACCATAAGACCCAATGTGTATATTGTGATTCCCTTTAATAAGAACACAGAAAATAGAAAGCAGACAGAAGAATGAAAGAGAAAGATGTGAGAAGTGATAATCCTCTATAGAAAAGTGAAAAAGAGGAAAAGTCACACCCAGCTATGTATATCTTCCAGTCTCTGACTCTGTACATAGAATATGCCCATCTCTTTTCTAGCTCTCCTTTGTCTTCAAATAGCTCACAACAATGCTTCGTGTAACCAATCTTATTACCTAGTAAAGACTCCAATTGAATGGTGACCGCCTGAAAAACATTATTTTCGAAAGATGTTCTATCCCGCTTCGAAACTTAACAGTTAATCCTCGTATCCATAAAATATTAATCGCTTATTTGTTCTTTATAAAATTATATAATATTTAATAAACAAACAATAACTTTATTAAGCTTTTATGAATACGGGAGAAATGTTTCTGTTGATGCATTCCACAACAAAATGTATTGAACTCTTTACGATTCTTACTAAAAAATAAAATAATATTTAACAACATTTGCAATGTTTTTCTTTTTTATTATTATTATTATTCCCAAACTGATAATTTGTTGTGATGTAGTTGTTATATTTCATTTAATTTACAAACAACATCTGGTTTTGGCAGAAGCAGAAAAAACCTATGTGTAAAATAAATGAAGACAAGAGAAAACAAAGAAAAACATCATATGTACATAAGTTTATACATATGTACATATTGTGTATGTATAAAAATGTATACAATTTAAAGTGGGGGTCATTTAACCATGCTTTTGTAAAACTAAACATTATAGAACAAAGTAAATTCTCTACTATAGCGCATAGTTGTATGAGAATTTTTTAAAAAAAGAAAGGTGTGTTAGGCTAAATAATAATTTTTCAGTATTAAACAATAACGATTTCTAATTTTTATTTATAATGGTGATAGGGTTTTACAGAGTTATTTAAAGATTTGCTAATTGTATTGAGTATCTATCTGCTGTACTATATTTTATTTAAAAATAATGACGTTAATTGAGAGAAAAAGAAGAAGCAAATAAGGAAGTATAGTTTGTTATAAACAGACTTTATAATACCCTAATTCAAAATAAAATATATCTTGGAAGTAGAAGTTCATGTGGAATAAATTATAGTCTGTTATGAACTAGTGTTTTTTAGGATTTTAGGGGAATATTCTTTTCATTATTCCGGGGAGATCTCTAATGAAAAAAGTAGAAAATTTAATTAAATCATTTTGAGTTAAAGTTGCAATAAAGTATCGAACAACTTTAGTAGATTTTGCAAATTTGAATTACGATATGTATGTAAATTCAATATTATATGGACTTGTTGTATATTGAGAAGTTTTTGGTCTAGTCAATATATTAGAGAAAACAATGAATTAATCTACATATTTGTCTTATTGATTAGTCTATGGACTCAACCATTAAATTATAAACTGACTACTCAATGGACTTGTCTATCTTGACTAATCTATGGACTAATTTATTGACTTGCCAATAGACTATCGTATGTTTTAATCTATTTTGGACTAATCTATTGACTAGTCAATGGACTCATCTATTAACTAATCTATTAATTCATATACTAACTAGCATATCCACTAATCTATGAAGTAGTGTGTAGATTAATTTATTGATTAGTCTGAGGAATTTATTGTTAAGTCTTTTAACTAGTCAATTCAGCGAGGACATTTGTTATTTTGACTAATTTATTGACTAGTCTATGGACTAATCAATGAAATTATGAACTTTTTACTTAATGGACTAATCTATTGCCTAGTCAATGTTTTAGCCTATGAACTAATCCACTGTCTAGTCAATGGTCTTGTTTATGAATTAATCTATAATTTAAACTACTGTAAAGTCCAGGGACTAATATTATGTTTAGTGTATGGAATTTTATTTATTATATGAAATCATGGAACGAATTCATATAAAATCACATCCTTCTTGAGCCAAATTGAGAATGCGCACCAAATTTTATTCAATTATTTATAAAATTGACATACAAACTTTGACTACAAGACTTACATGGACAGAGGGACGCACTGAAATTGTTAAATCGCTGCAGAATGAGATTCTGATCTCATACATACACACTTAAGGTGGATGTGAAAACTTTTGTTTTAGAGCTGTAGGGTATAATTATTTAAACGTGCATTGTTGTTCTTTATTAAAAACAAACAAAATTGTATTTTTCTCTCTAAAAAAACACGTACGTATTGATACAACAACTAAAATTATACACAACTTCGATGTGATCAAAATTAAAATTAAGATAATTTATTTTTATTTTCTTTTTGTTGTTTTCACACTGTTTTGTCAACACAAACAAGCTCAGCTGTTCGATATTTACAAAATAAGAACAAGAAAAAAAAAACAGATATAAGAAACAACAACAAAAGACAAACTCAAAGAGAGCAAGTGAAAAAAATTAAACAAAAACAAATTCACCACACAGTGGAGGTGCTTTATAGAAATAGAAAAAAACAAAAAGAAATACAAATAAATAGCCCCCTGTTTTTTCTATTGTGTTGGAAAGAGAGGAAGAAAACAAGATATTCAACATAACAAACAGATGATGATAAACAAAAATAAATAAAAAGCCAAAACAAGGAAAATAAATTAAAATAATATTAAAAAAAGAAACGCAATTGAATCGTTTCTAACAAAAAATAATACCAATGAACTTTTTAACAGCATATTTTCTATTTAAAACAAAAGTAGAAATGCATGTAAATTATTTGCAGGAAGTAGGGTGTAGCTGCTATTGTTCTAGCCATTTTGCCATGTACATACAAAATAAGTAATTTTTAAATAACCTTAACATAAAAACAATACAATAAATTTAATTATTAGTTAAAACCTAACTAAAATGGGAAAACAAACAAAAGCCAAGTTAATACCTATGAAATGAACAATATTTTGTCATTAATTGTAAGTAGCTTAATTATTCTATATAATACATTGATAATGAAAAAAATAAAAAAAGACAAACAGACAACAGAAAATAATAGAAAAAACAGACAAATACACACAATCGTATAAAAATAAAGTCATGACCAAATATTTCTTTTTAGCAAATGAACAGTAGAAACAAAAAAAATAAAAATAAACGGAATATTAACCAAATGCAAATAACAAAAGCACTAGATAAAAAAGAAACATATACCCAAAATGAACAATGATTAAAAGTGCAGTTTTTGTTAAACCAAAAAAAAATTAATTATTAAATACTTTTTTATATTATCTTACTTGTTTATAATTTTTTAAAGTAAGGTGGTTTAACTGCTATTAAGTATTTTATTAAGATTTTATTGAATTTTAATATTTTGTTCGCTTTTTTTTTATTCAATAATCAGCTTTTGTATTTAAAATTTTCTTCTTTGTCTGCAAGTGTAAAATATACACACACTCACTTACTGACAAATGCACACACGCACACTGATTTTGCTTTTGTAATCGCTCTTTGACTCTCTCTCGACAACTTGCACCTTTGAATAACAAAATTGTACTGACAGAAATAAATGTAAAAAAGCAAAAACAATATTTTAGCAAATACAAAAAACCCTACACAAGAAATCCATGATTGCCAATACTACCAAAATATTGCAGTAAGGGGAAATTATGTACATATATCCAATTTTGTTAGAAATAGAAAACTCTGTAATTCTTTTTCGAATTGAACAAATGTTTGAAGAATTATTAATTCTTCGCATTTATTTCCGGAGTTTAATCCCGACAACATTTGAATTAATTCCCTAATGATGTAACTCCTATGTAATGTTAAAATCATTATGCAAAACTTATATCCTAAAGATATCTGGGGACTTTAGATATCACCTAAACCCTAGTACTAAAAAATATTTATCATTCCTTTGTAAGAACTGCGTGAAAAAATTAATTTGAAAAAAACTTTTAATTTCTCAACAATTTTTTTATCCAAGGTTTCAACTCGACTTTATATGTAACGAATATAGACACAAACTGACTATTCATAACAATTTTTCAAAGATTTATAGAACAAATTCTGCATGAAAATTTGTCTTATAAACCTTTGATAAATTGTTATGAATAAGGCCCAAACTGATTACGCTCTAAGTACTATAGCGGAGTAAAATATAAAAACATGGCAACCCGAAATTAAAATTGAAGTGCAAAAATAAATTTTCCCCTACTCATACACAGTGGAGCAATTTCATTAAATAATAATTTAATAATATTTAACATTTTATGTTTGAAGTACATTTTTATATAGCATTGGAAAAATTAAAAATATAGCATTATACCTATAGATCACAATTTTCAAAACAATTGAATGCTCGACAAAAGAAGACCTGTTACAATTTTTTTTATAATTACAATTGAACTGTGGAGTTCCTTCTTCCTCTTCCTTCCTTTTTCTTTCCAAATATTTTTGAATACCGTAGGTAAGTACCTATTTAAAAACAAACTTTTTCTTTTTACTGGGACTGGTAAGTATTTTGTTCATTGCTGTATAAACCCCAACATACATACATATGTATGTAGTATGTTTATTTAAATGTTTATCAGCAAACAAAGAAATTAAATCCAAAATATTTGGAATAAAAACATAAATTGTCTTTTTTAAATGCGTAGTATATACATACATATTTATGTATGTATATATATTTTGTATATACATACTTTTATTATGTACATAAACATGTTATTTAACAACTCAGTAAGAGGAAAGTGGAGAATTCAAAACAAGAATTATACCAAGAACAACAACTACTACTCAAAAACAAACAACAATAGAAATTAGGGGGGACAAATACACAATAACAAATATGTATACATAAAGAAACAAATAACTTATGTACAATAAGATCAACAGCCCAATAAATATAATATCTGTATAGGTATATAGACATCTAACTGACAAAAAAGTTTGACTTCATGGTACTCTAAGGAAATTGGATTTATAGGGGATCTAAAAAGTTCTGTAATACCTATGATTATGTATGAATACAAATAAAAATTTCAATTCAGATGAAATGTTTAACACGGAATTAATGCAACTTCATCGAAAGTTTAAATAATAAACTTTTAGAAAGCTGAGGAATTAGTACATACTTCTATTAGCTAAAATTTAAATTTAAACAAAACCAAATTAAATGTTATATTTTTCACTCTCTTCCAACGTAAATCTTTATAAATCAAATGAACACAAATTCAATCAATAAAATTTAAAATGTTAACACGTAAATAAACAAAAACTAATCAAAAAAATGCAAGACAAAAAATTAATTCTGTAAAAACAAACAAAAAAACAAGACAATAGAAAAAGGAAAGATCGCGAATTATAGAAGACACAATAACAACCATAAGGGAAGGGGAAATGAGAACAAAAAATAAATAATGACAATTTAAAGAAAATAATTGACATTTGCCAAGCAAATGCATTTAATAAGACAATTTGCATTTAAAACAAATTACACATACCCACATACATGTAGAAAAAATAAAAAAGCTCCATTTCCTTGTTTTAAAATACAATTTACCACAAAATATTAATAGACGGACAAACACATTACCTTTTTTATTCGTTTTGTTCAATTTGTTTTTTTGCAAAACTTCTTTCTGCTTTTAATAACTTTGTCTTTCATGCCACTCACTGTCCAGAGTACTCATTTATTGTTTTTTATAATAATTTGTTTCAAGTTTTCGTAATCTTCAATTGTAATTTTGTAATTTAATCAATTTTTTCTTTTCCTATTCAGAAACCTGCACCGACAAACATTACTAGCAACGGCTTGCACAAAACATTTTGGCGGCGGCTTAACTACTGCTATATGTCGTCAATTGGAATTTTGCTGAGACTCAGCAAAAATTTCCAATAAAATTTAAAATTTATTTTTTTTATATGAACTCATCAAAGCAACTGAGATGCGGGGTATCTCAACAAAATTGTCCGGTAAGAATTATACGTGTTTGTGTGTCGATTCGCGAAAATTTTGCTGAGGTTGATTGGCTCAGCAAAAATTTCCAATTTAAAATGGAAATGACGGCAGAGACTTGGAATTGATGCAAATTGCATTTTTTCCCATTCTTCAAAGATGGAACGTTTTGATTATATTTTTTTATAAACATATAAATTTAAATTATTATATCAAACAAATTGTTTATTTATAAAATGATTTTTTTAATTAACAATAATTAAATAAATTGTTAAACTGGTGTGTATCGAACAAATATTCGCTCGCAAATAATATTCTCGTGGGTTTTAAATATTTTATTAATATTGTTAAAATAATAAAAATCCTTTAGAATAAGGACATTTATAAATATATTTACTAGGGTTGTTGTCATTCGAATAAAAGTTATTCGATTAATCGAGGAAAAATATTTGTTTTTCTTCGAAGGAATAAAAAATTTTCAATTTAGAATAAAGAATAATTCGAAAAGTTTTTGCATCAGTATAAATACAAAATTTTGTACATGTAAATATAATACAAAAATAAATCATACTGCCAAAGAAAATTTGTATCGGTCCACAATTGGTCATAGCTCTCATATAATGTCCACTTCCGAAAATCACTTAAACGCACATATTTCATTGAATTATTAATTTATCTGGATAAATTTCGACTCAAATATGTTTTATGTACACATTAATCATTCTACCAAATTTTTTTCCGAATCGGTCGATTATTGGCCATAGCTCCCATATAAGGTCATCTTCCGCAAATCACTTAAACACACATATTTCATTAATAAATTAAGCTATTTGGATTAAATTCGACACAAAAACAATTTGTTTATATATGAATCAGCCTACAAATTTTTTCCGGATATGCCCGTAGTTGGTCATAGATCCCATATATGGTCCACTTCCGAAATTCACTTAAAAGTATATATTAACAAATATTATAATAACCAAAAACTTAATTTTTATTGGTTGGTTCCTGGCAGTACCACTAGGTTATTAAGGGTTACATGATAATACTTCGATAAAATTCGACATGAGTACGTTATGTGTATAGATAGATCATTCTGCTCAAATGTTTCCGAACTGACGTAATATTGATCATACTTCTGATTTATAATCATTAACATCGTTTAAAAAATCACGAATTTAGTTCATTATAAACATTAATGTCGGAAAAATGCTCGGCAGGAATATGTTTGCAAATACACAAATCATTCTCGTAATTGTTCTGTCATCTGCATGATCTTTCTATAAGTCATGGCATCTGTACGAGATCTTCAGCCGAAACTGAATATACATTTTTCTGGACCTAATCAAAATTAGTTCTACACATGCATAAATGTTAGCACTCTCATTACGGAGTCATCGGGATAATAATAATATTAAATAGATATACTCTTTAACTCCAAAAATAAAAAACATGCAAGTGGTGAAATATTTAAAAAATCGGACATTAATAAATCAGTAACATAAGCAGCATATTTCGTAATATATTTTATAAAAAAGCCCTCGATGAATTAAAATTAATTCATAAAATGTTTCTTTCTAATTATATATAATATGATGCTGCTGTAAAAGTTAGTCATTATTCAGAAAAGTCTGACATGCAAAGTATTTAAAATCCAGATCCAAAATGGATTAAAACATGAACATACCCGTTAATAAAACAACCTTTTGATAAAACAGCAAACCCTAACAGCTGTTTTTGATTGTTGTGTGGTGAGTTTCTGTAAAAACGTAAACAAATGAAACAAAAACAAATTACTAGACATATTTATTTTGTGCTAAGAAAAATTTATGTATTTTAATAATGTTTTGTAGCCAGTGCAAGTGTTCTTGGTGTACACCATCTACCCCAATAATAATCCCGGTTTCATTAGAATCAAGTATTTTTAAAACGGCCATATATAATGTGCAATTCATTCTATATTCCATGACTGGTTGAAAGAGTCACGGAATCCACCGGAGATCAACCTAAAAAATGAAAAAGGGGTGGCTTTAACTTCTTGTTCCGTTCATATGGGACAAGATTCGAGCCTCATCGTATCAGTTCGCCAGATACCTCATTTGTGTATATTGCAGGGTCCTGGTACCCAACACAGCCTTATTTTAAACGGTCTCATAATAATACTTAGATCTTTTCTTCATTCTACGACTATGCAAGAATACAGCTATGACATATTAATGCTTTAAATGCAGCATGACTATCAACCTAAAATCTTACCAGAGACCGGCGAACAATGTGATTCCCTATTAGTTCCGTCACTTTCAAGATCGCTAAATCACCACTTGGAAGACACAACCCATCAGGGAGTCAAGGAACATTTTACACCGTTTGTAACACATTGAAATATTGGTCTAATATCCATAAAAGTATATGCTGGGATCTTATTACAGTCTAAGATTGAGTTTGTTATTGAAAATGGACAATATCGGTATACGATAAACTCATCAGGGAGCCAAGGAACTTTTACACCGAAATATTGGTCTAAAATCCATAAAACTATAGACTAGGATCTTAGCCAATATTTGCCAAAATATTTTTAGTTGATGGAGTTTATTATTGAGCTTCAATATTCCAGTATAGCGAAGAAGAACGACAAAAACAAGTTTTATAGGAACTAAAATCTTTTTGCCAAATTTTATGAGGATCAGGAAATTATTTTACAAGATTTATATGATCCAAAACCTTTCTGGGTTGGTTCAAAATTGACCCTACCCCCATATAAGTTCCCCTTCAGAAAAAGATATTAACTCCAATAATTGTAATAAAAATACCAATATAGCAAAGAAATTCCACATAAACAAGGAGTCAACATCGTTTTGTAAAATTTAAGGGGATCGGTCCATAATTTAACCTATCCCCGATATAAGGTCCACCTCGGGAAATTACTACCACTCATAACTGGCTTAAAAAATAGCTATAAAATTCGACAACAACTTTTATATGAAACAAAATTTATCTGTTGAATTTTGTAAGGGTCGGTCCACAGTTGACCCTACCTAAAATCTCAAACAGATTATGCCATCCGATTTCTACACTTCCAACTTAAAGTTCTATATAGGTTTTTGTCGTGCACAAGATCGTCCGATAGCAGTTATATATCATTTTATATATACGGCTATAGTAACATTTTTTGTAAAAAAAAAGTTTGTTGTTGTAGTACACACCCTAGAACGATGAAATCCGGAAAAAAATGTATGCCATACGATTTCTACACTTCCAACTTAAAGTTCTATATAGGTTTTTATCGTGCACAAGATCGTCCGATAGCAGTTATATAGAAATTTATATATACTTCCATAATAACATTTTTTGTAAAAAAAAAGTTTGTTGTTGTAGTACACACCCTAGAACGATGAAATCCGGAAAAAAATGTATGCCATCCGATTTCTACACTTCCAACTTAAAGTTCTATATAGGTTTTTATCGTGCACAAGATCGTCCGATAGCACTTATATATCATTTTATATATACGGCCATAATAACATTTTTTGTAAAAAAAAAGTTTGTTGTTGTAGTACACACCCTAGAACGATGAAATCCGATTTCTACACTTCCAACTTAAAGTTCTATATAGGTTTTTATTGTGCACAAGATCGTCCGATAGCAGTTATATATCATTTTATATATACGGCTATAGTAACATTTTTTGTAAAAAAAAAGTTTGTTGTTGTAGTACACACCCTAGAACGATGAAATCCGGTAAAAAATGTATGCCATACGATTTCTACACTTCCAACTTAAAGTTCTATATAGGTTTTTATCGTGCACAAGATCGTCCGATAGCAGTTATATAGAAATTTATATATACTTCCATAATAACATTTTTTGTAAAAAAAAGTTTGTTGTTGTAGTACACACCCTAGAACGATGAAATCCGGAAAAAAATGTATGCCATCCGATTTCTACACTTCCAACTTAAAGTTCTATATAGGTTTTTATCGTGCACAAGATCGTCCGATAGCAGTTATATATCATTTTATATATACGGCTATAGTAACATTTTTTGTAAAAAAAAAGTTTGTTGTTGTAGTACACACCCTAGAACGATGAAATCCGGAAAAAAATGTATGCCATACGATTTCTACACTTCCAACTTAAAGTTCTATATAGGTTTTTGTCGTGCACAAGATCGTCCGATAGCAGTTATATATCATTTTATATATACGGCTATAGTAACATTTTTTGTAAAAAAAAAGTTTGTTGTTGTAGTACACACCCTAGAACGATGAAATCCGGAAAAAATGTATGCCATCCGATTTCTACACTTCCAACTTAAAGTTCTATATAGGTTTTTATCGTGCACAATATCGTCCGATAGCACTTATATATCATTTTATATATACGGCCATAATAACATTTTTTGTAAAAAAAAAGTTTGTTGTTGTAGTACACACCCTAGAACGATGAAATCCGGAAAAAAATGTATGCCATCCGATTTCTACACTTCCAATTTAAAGTTCTATATAGGTTTTTATTGTGCACAAGATCGTCCGATAGCAGTTATATATCATTTTATATATACGGCTATAGTAACATTTTTTGTAAAAAAAAAGTTTGTTGTTGTAGTACACATCCTAGAACGATGAAATCCGGTAAAAAATGTATGCCATACGATTTCTACACTTCCAACTTAAAGTTCTATATAGGTTTTTATCGTGCACAAGATCGTCCGATAGCAGTTATATAGAAATTTATATATACTTCCATAATAACATTTTTTGTAAAAAAAAAGTTTGTTGTTGTAGTACACACCCTAGAACGATGAAATCCGGAAAAAAATGTATGCCATACGATTTCTACACTTCCAACTTAAAGTTCTATATAGGTTTTTATCGTGCACAAGATCGTCCGATAGCAGTTATATAGAAATTTATATATACTTCCATAATAACATTTTTTGTAAAAAAAAAGTTTGTTGTTGTAGTACACACCCTAGAACGATGAAATCCGGAAAAAAATGTATGCCATCCGATTTCTACACTTCCAACTTAAAGTTCTATATAGGTTTTTATCGTGCACAAGATCGTCCGATAGCAGTTATATATCATTTTATATATACGGCTATAGTAACATTTTTTGTAAAAAAAAAGTTTGTTGTTGTAGTACACACCCTAGAACGATGAAATCCGGAAAAAAATGTATGCCATCCGATTTCTACACTTCCAACTTAAAGTTCTATATAGGTTTTTATCGTGCACAAGATCGTCCGATAGCAGTTATATATCATTTTATATATACGGCTATAGTAACATTTTTTGTAAAAAAAAAGTTTGTTGTTGTAGTACACACCCTAGAACGATTAAATCCGGAAAAAAATGTATGCCATACGATTTCTACACTTCCAACTTAAAGTTCTATATAGGTTTTTATCGTGCACAAGATCGTCCGATAGCAGTTATATAGAAATTTATATATACTTCCATAATAACATTTTTTGTAAAAAAAAAGTTTGTTGTTGTAGTACACACCCTAGAACGATGAAATCTGGAAAAAAACTATGTCATCCGATTTCTACACTTCCAACTTAAAGTTCTATATAGGTTTTTATCGTGCACAAGATCGTCCGATAGCAGTTATATATCATTTTATATATACGGCTATAGTAACATTTTTTGTAAAAAAAAAGTTTGTTGTTGTAGTACACACCCTAGAACGATGAAATCCGGAAAAAAATGTATGCCATCCGATTTCTACACTTCCAACTTAAAGTTCTATATAGGTTTTTATCGTGCACAAGATCGTCCGATAGCAGTTATATATCATTTTATATATACGGCTATAGTAACATTTTTTGTAAAAAAAAAGTTTGTTGTTGTAGTACACACCCTAGAACGATGAAATCCGGAAAAAAATGTATGCCATCCGATTTCTACACTTCCAACTTAAAGTTCTATATAGGTTTTTATCGTGCACAAGATCGTCCGATAGCAGTTATATAGCAATTTATATATACTTCCATAATAACATTTTTTTGTAAAAAAAAAGTTTGTTGTTGTATTACACACCCTAGAACGATGAAATCCGGAACAAAAATGTATGCCATCCGATTTCTACACTTCCAACTTAAAGTTCTATATAGGTTTTTATCGTGCACAAGATCGTCCGATAGCAGTTATATATCATTTTATATATACGGCTATAGTAACATTTTTTGTAAAAAAAAGTTTGTTGTTGTAGTACACACCCTAGAACGATGAAATCCGGAAAAAAATGTATGCCATCCGATTTCTACACTTCCAACTTAAAGTTCTATATAGGTTTTTATCGTGCACAAGATCGTCCGATAGCAGTTATATATCATTTTATATATATGTGACCATAGTAACATTTTTTGAATGTTTTTTATTAAAAGGCATTCTGTAACGATATAATCCCAAATATATTTATATTTAATCAGATTTGTTCCTTTCCACATTTATACACATATTTTAATTGATCAAAAATATTTTTTTAATGTAAATCATGAAAATCAATTTTTTTGAATTTTTTGCACGTGCATAAACACATATTGAAAATGTAAATAATGAAAACGAGTTTTTGCGTCTTTTCCACGTGCAGAAATACATATTTGTAAACAAAAATAACTCACCACACCAAAAAAAATGTTTATTTTGATAAAACAGCTGTTACGGTTTGTTTTATTTTTCGTAGGGTTGTTTTCTTTATGTGCGTCATTTAAAATTCATCAAGATCTTTTTACAATAACATCAATTTTAATTGCGACTTTTCCAAAACACAACAAGTGGCAACACTGCTTAGAGTTTACAATGACAGCACTTTCATTCACAATAGTCATTGTTGTGCAGATAATAAAAAAAAATTTCTTGTTGTTTTTCTTTTCCAGTACTTTTGCGGTAAGCGACTTTAATGTAAAAAAAGCTTGAGCATTCCGGCAGTGTAAATTTTTCGTAATAAAAAGAACTTTCAAACAATTTATGAATAATTATTTAAAAAACTAAAGTGAGAAATTAAAACATAAAAGGTGAATAAAAATTAAAACAAAAAAGGAAATATGTAATATAATTATTTACTTCATTACGAATGTAATTGAATGTCAAGGCATCGATAAAGAAATGTATTTATATGTACAACATAGTTACATATTAAAAAATTTAGTAAAAAACTAAATATTTAATAAACTATATATTATTTATGCATTAATGCAAGGCTATTTCATACTAAAACATTTAAAAAATCATTGTATATTCAAATATAATTGCGATGGAGTGAGATTACTCATGCACACCCCATGTGTCTTCTAATTTTTTTTTTGGATTTTCGTTTTCTCCATAATTATTATATATCTGTTGTGTGTTTGTGCCATAATATGAATTACGGTATAGTAAACGACAAAAAGAAAACAACAAACAATTTGGTTCATTGTTGTTTTGAGGATAGAGACAACAAAATCGCCTGATGTTTTTCTTATTGCATGTACATTTGTATATGCATAATATACTCAAACAAACTCATATGAATACATACTTAGTATGTACATACGAACATATTAGAGGGGGCCCAAAAAAAATAAGAGTTTTGCTTGGATGGGTCTTATTTTGTTAATTAGTGTATAAACCTAACTGGAGTAAAAATTTATCCCAAACGGTAACGGTAACCCGTGCCGGAAATCGATTGAAAAGTGTAAAATTGTGTAAACAATAGGACTTTTTGATTTCTTTAAAAATTGTGCATTTTACACAAGAACATATAGATATAAGTACCCAGCAAAAAAAGACGTGCAAAAAAGTAGTAAATGCATGGGTTGAACTGATAATGAACTGGTTCATATTAGGGGAAACATGCATGATTTTAACATTAGCGTGTCATTGGCATGCATGTGTTCGTATTTGGAAAAATAGTTCGCCATTTAAATGAGTTCTTATAACCAATGAATATTCGATGATTCTCAAGCGAATTTTCATTGGTGCACTATATTTATTTAAAAATGCATTAATAATGGTATTTCGATTTAATTATCAATATTTAAATAATTTTTTTGTGTGATATTGATAAAAATAAAATAAAATAAGATAAAACATAACTAACTGATTTTTATGGGATTTAAATTCATGCAGAGGAAAAATACCCATTGTGTTTTAAAATCCGTTAAACAGTCTTGGTTTTTTCCTTCTCTTATTAATGTTAAAATGGACTTAATATTACTAGGTAGGTAGGTACCTACAAAAACAAAAATCTAATAAAAAAATTAATGTAATTTTTAATATTTATTGTATGAAATGCACGTTTTCGTTAAATCTCCTAAGAGAATACCAAATTATAGTAAAATATTACAATTCCTATAGTGGAGTTACATGAGTGAATTTGGGTGCATTTTTCATGCCTTCACTGATGACAAATATATTAGAATTTAGGCATGTATTTAAAACGCATTAAATAGAATACGTACAAAAGAAATCATGAAAATATCCCTTCTTCTTTAACAACTTCAAATTTTTTTTGCTGGGTATGTAAGTTTAATAAATAAAATAACACCCATTCAAACAAATTCGATATTTTTGGGCTCCTCCTAGTGTACATACATACATAGTAAATATAATAGCCAAACATTTATCTTACGTAGAAATTGCAACAAAAAATTTCATTTTTATATTTTCTTTGGAATAAATGTGTGAATTGTTATTTATTTTAAAATTTAGGAAATCAACGATTTATTATATTTCAATGTGAATCAAGTTAGCAGTTTGTTTTTGTTTTCAAATTATAATTTTTAATCTTTAGTCTGAGCGTTGTCTATTATTTTTTATTGCTTTTTTATTTATAAATATTAATAAATTTCTTGTTCTACTTTTTTATGGAATTGCATTATTGGACGGAAATATTTTTTATAGTCTTAACAATCAAGTTGGGGGGTTATACATACATAATTAAAACTCAAAAATTACGATCCACTGTAGTTTATATCAAATGCTAACTTTTAAAGTAATAGGTACTAACTGATCGAAAAGAATCTAAATTAGTTCTAGTTTGAACTTGTCAGTTTTAGTTCGGTTCATGTTGAGTTCTAGTTATGTTCTTGTTCTAGTTCTACTTCAGTTCTAGTTTAATTCTGGTTCAGTTCTAGTTCAGTTCTAGGTCAGTTCTATTTTAGTTCTAGTTCAGTTCTAGTTCAGTTCTAGTTCAGTTCTAGTTCAGTTCTAGTTCAGTTCTAGTTCAGTTCTAGTTCAGTTTCTAGTTCAGTTCTAGTTCAGTTCTAGTTCAGTTCTAGTTCAGTTCTAGTTCAGTTCTAGTTCAGTTCTAGTTCAGTTCTAGTTCAGTTTTAGGTTCAGTTCTAGTTCAGTTCTAGTTCAGTTCTAATTCAGTTCTAGTTCAGCTCTAGTTCATTCTAGTTCAGCTCAAGTTTCAGTTCTAGTTCAGTTCTAGTTCAGTTCTAGTTCAGTTCTAGTCAGGTTCTAGTTCAGTTCTAGTTCAGTTCTAGTCAGTTCTAGTTCAGTTCAGTTCTAGTTCAGTTCTAGTTCAGTTCTAGTTCAGTTCTAGTTCAGTTCTAGTTCAGTTCTAGTTTCAGTTCTAGTTCAGTTCTAGTTCAGTTCAATTCTAGTTCAGTTCATTCTAGTTCAGTTCTAGTTCAGTTCTAGTTCAGTTCTAGTTCAGTTCTAGTTCAGTTCTAGTTCAGTTCTAGTTCAGTTCTAGTTCAGTCTAGTTCAGTTCTAGTTCAGTTCTAGTTCAGTTCTAGTTCAGTTCTAGTTCAGTTCTAGTTCAGTTCTAGTTCAGTTCTAGTAGTTCTAGTTCTATTCAGTTCTAGTTCAGTTTCTAGTTCAGTTCTAGTTAGTTCTAGTTCAGTTCTGTTCAGTTCTAGTTCAGTTCTAGTTCAGTTCTAGTTAGTTCTAGTTCTAGTTCAGTTCTAGTTCAGTTCTAGTTCTAGTTCAGTTCTAGTTCAGTTCTAGTTCAGTTCTAGTTCAGTTCTAGTTCAGTTCTAGTTCAGCTCAAGTTCAGTTCTAGTTCAGTTCTAGTTCAGTTCTAGTTCAGTTCTAGTTTAGTTCTAGTTTAGTTTTAGTTCAGTTCTATTTCAGTTCAAGTTCAGCTCTAGTTCAAGTTCAGCTCTAGTTCAGTTCTACTCCAGTTCTAGTTCAGTTCTAGTTCAGTTCTAGTTCGGTTCCATTTCAGTTCTGTTCTATTTCAGATCTAGTTAATTTTTAGTTTTAGACCATTTCTAGTTCATTTCCCAGTTCACCATATTGAACGCTCTGGTTGATCCTTCTTGTTTTAATTTAAAATTTTTGATGAGATAATTGCTGCAATTAAATAACGCCTACAATTTACCTATTGTTATCAAAGTTTTTATTTTTATAATAAAGTATATCATGCTATTAGGAACAAAGTACATTTTAGATAAAAATGTTAAATAACTACAAATAAAGAGCTCAGGTGTTTGTTGAACTTTTAGTGGTAGCAGATAATAATATTTTATAGTTTATTTCTATAAAATGTTTAACACGAGACCCTAGCGGTATCGCTTGTTAAGGGCTAAACGTATTCTCAGTGTTGTGTTGTGGCCCTTGTCATCGTTTCTATGAGTCCTTAGTGATATGTATGCAGCCTGTTTAAAGGTGACTAGATTAAAGCCACTGACCGACTCAAAATTGTCAGTAGGTTTACAATTGAATACGGCTAATTTTACGGTATTTACCTAAAACGTATTAAATAAATTATTGAATGAAATACAAACAATTCCAAATGATTTAAAACAGATGTGCTCAATTAAACAATACATTATTTGGCTTATACATATGTATGTATGTACCATGTACATATGTGTTATAATTTAGATTGATTTAATTGAACTTTGTGCTTTTATGAATTTATTTTTTAAAATACCATAACACATTTTTTAAATTAACTGCCAGTTCCTTGAATTCAAAATAAAACCAGCGAAATTAATTTGGCAGTAAATGAATTAATTACTTGCAAAATCTTTGCATTAGTAAAAAGTCTATTTAAAGTTTTTATTAAAAATGATGTGATTCTGCAAGAAATATTGTCTAAACAAGTGTTAATGCGTTCTAAATAAAATATTCTAAATATTTATTATTATTTATAAATAAAAAAAACTTTATTATATTACTCTTTCTTTCCTCTTTCTCTCTTTAATTGCAGAATAATTGAGTAAAAGTAAATGCCTGTTATAGTTTTGTACAAAATTGACGACTGAAAACAGAAATCTGCCTTCGACAAAAGAAATCGAATAAGTTAACACACAAAAACCAACGTCATCAATAAATAATCTATTGAAACAAACAACCTTCACTAGAAAATAAAGAAAGAAAGCAGCTACTAAAGAAAGCAAATTTTGCTCTGATAGAACCATTAAAATCTAAACAGAGACTACTACGAAACGTGTAAATATTAAAAGTGAGAGGAAGAAAAACCATGCTAACGAACTCTCTTGCCCATGATAGAGTCTCTCTAGAAAACAAGTTTAGTAGCAGACTAACGATCACCTAGTAGATGTGCAAAAAAAAAAAACAAATTTCTTTGGATAAAACCTATTGGTATACAATAACTACAAACCTTTGACGTGAAACCACCGGACATTTAATTTTTAAATATATTCATTTAGTAATCACACAACCACGGAACTCGTTAAACAGCGCGGCGTTTTTCTATTGTTTTCTTTTCATTAACGACATAAATTTAAAGGCAGAGATACAAACCTAATGTGTCATCAGCAACAATTTGGTTATCAGTAAATTGTTGAAAGAAATAAAAAAGTCTAGTAAATTATTTATATAAAAAGAATAATAGAACAAACAGTGCCAAAAGACCACCATAAACAATTTAAGAAAAGAAAAAGTTTTTAAATAATAAAATAAAAAACGTGTACGCCGGGGCTTACAGATCTTACAGACTTAAACCATAAAACAAATACATAAAGTCGTTACAATAATAAAAAAAAGTTTGCATTGTTGGCAAATTAAATTCAGTGTGATTTCTAAACAAAATTATAAAAATTTAAATGCTTTAAAAAAATCTTCTTAGTTTCAATATAAATTTGTTGCCTTTGAAAAACTTAGCTTTTTTGTAAAAAATAAATAAATTTTGTTTTAAATGACTACTTCGACTATAAAGCGACGACGTTTCGCCGTCTGCCAAAACACCACCAACTGAGACAACAAGCAACGGTGTGATAGCAGCATGTCGTCCTCCGTTAGTACTGTTATATCAAAAACTGATTCCCAAGAATCGGATAATGTTAATTGGGATGCTGTGGGCAGTACTTATATAAATCCCTTTATACATCGTATTAATATAGATAATGTAGAATTAGCTAAGGTAAGTGCTGAAAATTTAATTTTGAAAGTTAATATGTATTTAAATGTATTTGATTTTAAAAAATTTCATTTGACCTTTAAGTCAAAATTTTCTAACTACATATTTCAAAAAATTAGACTTTGACCATTTTTTTATTGCTTATTTATATATGTTTAGGTACGTATAAGCAAAAGTTTTGTTATAAATTTTCTAAAATAAATTTCTATATTCTAAGTTAATCTAATTTTTAACCCAATGAATATTTTAGTGGGAAAATTAATTTTTATTTGTTTTAAACTTTTTAACAATTTATAAATTAGTTGTGATCATTTGTATTATCTCCTCTATTCGAAAAGCCTTTTATACAATTAGTTTCTACCGAACCAACATTTTTTTCCAACTTTTTTGGCAACATAAAGGACTGCTCATCTTTTGAGGCCAAAAACGAATCAATATTCTGAAGTGAGAGAGAGAGATTGTTCAGCATCTATCGAAACTATCTAATTTCTAGTTCAGTTCTAGTTCTGTTCAGTTCTAGTTCAGTTCTAGTTCAAGTTTTAGTTCAGTTCTAGTTCACATGTTCTAGTTTCAAGTTCTAGTTCAGGTTTAGTTCAGTTCTAGTCAGTCTAGTTCAGTTCTAGTTTCAGTTCTAGTTCAGTTTCTAGGTCAGTTTCTAGTTCAGGTTCTAGTTCAGTTCTAGTTCAGTTCTAGTTCAGTTCTAGTTCAGTTCTAGTTCAGTTCTAGGTTCAGTTCTAGTTCAGTTCTAGTTTCAGTTCTAGTTCAGTTCTAGTTCAGTTCTAGTTCAGTTCTAGTTCATGCTAGTTCACTTCTAGTTCACTTCTAGTTCACTTCTAGTTCAGCTTCTAGTTCCAGGTTCTAGTTCAGTTCTAGTTCAGTTCTAGTTCAGTTCTAGTTCAGTTCTAGTTCAGTTCTAGTTCAGGTTCTAGTTCAGTTCTAGTTCAGTTCTAGTTCAGTTCTAGTTCAGTTCTAGTTCAGTTCTAGTTCAGTTCTAGTTCAGTTCTAGTTCAGTTCCTAGTTCAGTTCTAGTTCAGTTCTAGTTTCAGTTCTAGTTCAGTTCTAGTTCAGTTCTAGTTCAGTTCTAGTTCAGTTCTAGTTCAGTTCTAGTTCAGTTCTAGTGCAGTTCTAGTTCAGTTCTAGTTCAGTTCTAGTTCAGTTCTAGTTCAGTTCTAGTTCAGTTCTAGTTCAGTTCTAGTTCAGTTCTAGTTCAGTTCTAGTTCAGTTCTAGTTCAGTTCTAGTTCAGTTCTAGTTCAGTTCTAGTTCAGTTCTAGTTCAGTTCTAGTTCAGTTCTAGTTCAGTTCTAGTTCAGTTCTAGTTCAGTTCTAGTTCAGTTCTAGTTCAGTTCTAGTTCAGTTCTAGTTCAGTTCTAGTTCAGTTCTAGTTCAGTTCTAGTTCAGTTCTAGTTCAGTTCTAGTTCAGTTCTAGTTAGTTCTAGTTAGTTCAGTTCTAGTTCAGTTCTAGTTCAGTTCTAGTTCAGTTCTAGTTCAGTTCTAGTTCAGTTCAGTTCTAGTTCAGTTCTAGTTCAGTTCTAGTTCAGTTCTAGTTCAGTTCTAGTTCAGTTCTAGTTCAGTTCTAGTTCAGTTCTAGTTCAGTTCTAGTTCAGTTCTAGTTCAGTTCTAGTTCAGTTCTAGTTCAGTTCTAGTTCAGTTCTAGTTCAGTTCTAGTTCAGTTCTAGTTCAGTTCTAGTTCAGTTCTAGTTCAGTTCTAGTTCAGTTCTAGTTCAGTTTCTAGTTCAGTTCTAGTTCAGTTCTAGTTCAGTTCTAGTTCAGTTCTAGTTCAGTTCTAGTTCAGTTCTAGTTCAGTTCTAGTTCAGTTCTAGTTCAGTTCTAGTTCAGTTCTAGTTCAGTTCTAGTTCAGTTCAGTTCAGTTAGTTCAGTTCTAGTTCAGTTCTAGTTCAGTTCTAGTTCAGTTCTAGTTCAGTTCTAGTTCAGTTCTAGTTCAGTTCTAGTTCAGTTCTAGTTCAGTTCTAGTTCAGTTCTAGTTCAGTTCTAGTTCAGTTCTAGATCAGTTCTAGTTCAGTTCTAGTTCAGTTCTTGTTCAGTTGTAGTTCAGTTCTAGTTCAGTTCTAGTTCAGTTCTAGTTCAGTTCTAGTTCAGTTCTAGTTCAGTTCTAGTTCAGTTCTAGTTCATTTCTAGTTCATTTCTAGTTCAGTTCTAGTTCAGTTCTAGTTCAGTTCTAGTTCAGTTCTAGTTCAGTTCTAGTTCAGTTCTAGTTCAGTTCTAGTTCAGTTCTAGTTCAGTTCTAGTTCAGTTCTAGTTCAGTTCTAGTTCAGTTCTAGTTCAGTTCTAGTTCAGTTCTAGTTCAGTTCTAGTTCAGTTCTAGTTGAGTTCTAGTTCAGTTCTATTTGAGTTCTAGTTCAGTTCTTCTGAACCACACAAACCATCTATTGTAAATTCCTCATTTTTGAACACACAATAACAGGTCATTTTTACTTTAAAATTGTATGTCTTTATTTATAATCAGTCGCCAAACATGTCGCTGGGTTATAGTTCTGTTTGCAAATACTATATATTTTCTACTATTTCTTTCACTTTTTTTTTGACTTTCTATAGCCGTTTGTTTATTTTTCTTATCGTTTTCTTTCTTTAATTTATTTGTTTAATTTTTTCATGTTTAAACCGAGCTGTCTTAAAAAGAATGCTAATTTATTTAAACAAATAAAAAAAACATGCACTTGACATTCATTTGTTTAAGTTGAATGATTTTATACGGTTAAATTTATATTTTAATTTATTTTTTTGATTAGTCAAATTAATTGTTTGATTAATTGCAGACTCATTAGTTATTTTCTATTGAATTTTAAACAAAATACTATTGCTATTAAATTTTAGCAAAAATTAAAAAAAGCTAAGAAAATCAAAATAAGTGCCTGAGTTGAAGCACAGATCGTTGGGTAGGAAAAAAGAAACACAAACAAAGTTCTGATTACATTTGATTCATTAAAAGCAGAAGAAATCAAAAAATAAAACAAACAATTACTTTTTCTCTAAAGGCCTTACTAATGAAATTTATAGAAATTTATTAGTACTATTTAAATAAAATTAAACATTTTTCCATTTAACCATTTTAATAAATCACCTCCCACTAATAAAACAATTCAAAGCAAAACATTTTGATCATACAACAATAAACCTTAAATGCAAGTGAATCATTACAATGAAAATATCATTAACAAACATTTGTTTATTTCTATGTTTTAAACAAATCAATATGCATGACTCTCTGTCTGTCTGTCTGTCTTTCTTCACCTTACTCAGTTAATATTTATAAACATTTTCTTTTTGTTTTTATTATTATTTTTTTTTCTCCCCGCATTATGTACTAATTTATTATACATGTATCTTTATTTGTTTATTTTTTTAAACCTTAGTAAAAACAACCTTAAAACATTAAAAAATCAATTTTTTCTCATTATTATTTATATATACATATATTTTTTTAATAAAAAAGAGCACAAAAATTCAATGTCAATGTTAAAACTAAAATAAAAAAAATAATTTAACATTTACAAGGTTATTATATGGATTCTTTAACTGTAGAGTAGAGTAGTGGGTCTTTAGTTTTTTTTCTTAAGAAAGAAAAATAATAAAAACAAAACAAGTATTTCTACCGACAGTGCTGGAGTCTTGACAATGATGTTGACATACATTTTTTAAGTTGAAAATTTATCGTTGTTTTGTATTTTTTGGTATTGTAATGGAAAATAAATCAATTTACTTGATTATATAAATAATTAAAATTATTTTAATAGAGTGTAAAACTTATTGCTAGTTAAAGGAGTAACTATGACTTTGCAGGCCTTTATTTTAGGTAATACCAAATAACACATATTTTTAATTTAAAAATAATTAAATTTATTTTAATGGAGTGTAAACAATTAACAAATATTTTTCAATTTGTTCTTATAATATATGCACATTCTGGGCTTTTTTTGACTCAAAGGTCGTTCAAAGTTCTAGCTCATTTCTAGTTCAGTTCTAGTTCAGTTCTAGTTCAGTTCTAGTTCAGTTCTAGTTCAGTTCTAGTTCAGTTCTAGTTCAGTTCTAGTTCAGTTCTAGTTCAGTTCTAGTTCAGTTCTAGTTCAGTTCTAGTTCAGTTCTAGTTCAGTTCTAGTTCAGTTCTAGTTCAGTTCTAGTTCAGTTCTAGTTCAGTTCTAGTTCAGTTCTAGTTCAGTTCTAGTTCAGTTCTAGTTCAGTTCTAGTTCAGTTCTAGTTCAGTTCCAGTTCAGTTGTAGCTCAGTTCTAGTTTAGTTCTAGTTCAGTTCTAGTTCAGTTCTAGTTCAGTTCTAGTTCAGTTCTAGTTCAGTTCTAGTTCAGTTATAGTTCAGTTCTAGTTCAGTTCTAGTTCAGTTCTAGTTCAGTTCTAGTTCAGTTCTAGTTCAGTTCTAGTTCAGTTCTAGTTCAGTTCTAGTTCAGTTCTAGTTCAGTTCTAGTTCAGTTCTAGTTCAGTTCTAGTTCAGTTCTAGTTCAGTTCTAGTTCAGTTCTAGTTCAGTTCTAGTTCAGTTCTAGTTCAGTTCTAGTTCAGTTCTAGTTCAGTTCTAGTTCAGTTCTAGTTCAGTTCTAGTTCAGTTCTAGTTCAGTTCTAGTTCAGTTCTAGTTCAGTTCTAGTTCAGTTCTAGTTCAGTTCTAGTTCAGTTCTAGTTCAGTTCTAGTTCAGTTCTAGTTCAGTTCTAGTTCAGTTCTAGTTCAGTTCTAGTACAGT